CACCTCACCGCCCAACCTCGAGGGCAGTCTGTTCAGGGCCAATACCATTGCTTCTCAGCAGAGAAGTAAATGGCCTCCTCCTCCTCTTCATTCCGATAGAGAGCCGGGCAACTGGACACCGACAGGATGTCTGGATCAGGGGAAGGCAACGAGTGCTGGGCGAGCCGCGGGTGAGCAGAGAGCGGGGCGTGCGGAGGGAGCTGCGCGCGCTGGGACTGTGGCGAGGATGGCACGATGCTGCGACGCGAGCGGCACAAGCTGCTGCTTCTGGCTAGTGACCCAGCAGGTTTGGCCATGGTCCCTGGATAGGGGAAACACTCGTGAATCCACTGCTCCTTTTATACACACCACACATACAAATGAGAGAGCTGACGTTATGCCACCATTTACCTACCTTTCCTGAAGTGACTGTACAATTATTACCGTCCTCTACCATCTACACTGATTCTTAGGAAAGTTAAGATATAAGAAATAACAATTTAACAGAAATGAAAATAGGTTTGAAAAATCAACAGAAGGCTTCAATGTAACATTTGACATTATTAACCACAAGGCTAAAACTTTGCCCCCATCAAATCTTTAAATTAAAAAAAAAATCAATATGCCAACTTGTAAGGAATCGATACTTTGTTGCATGAATTTTAACGTTTAAAGAGGAAAACTGTAGGTAAAAAATAGACTGGATTTCAACAGATTCCTTGATATTTGTTCAAAGGTATTTAATCAAAAACCACTTATGAATAGACACTTCCCCAAAGACGACACACCAGTTGCCACTAGGTACATGAAAAGCTGTTCATCCTTACTTATTACTAGAGCAATGCAAATCTAAACAAGCTGCTACCTCACACACATGAGAATGATTATTTTCCAAAAAGACAAGAACAAGTGTTGAAGAGGTGTGGACAGAAGTGAACCCTTATATGCTGTTGGTGGAATCATAACTGAGTGCAGCCATTAGGGAATGCATTGTGGAGAGCTGTCAAGAAATGATAAATAGAAATACCATTCAATCCAGTTGTCCTCCTCTTCTGGGCATTTACCCGCCAAAATACAAAACACTCACAATTCAAAAGACATAAACCCCACAGATATTGCAGCATTGCGTAGCAACGAGCTGGAAACCACCCAAGTGCCCACTGATTAATGAATGGATAAAGAGGATGTGTCATACACACACAATGGAATACCATTCGGCTATTAAAAAAAGGGAAAAGGTGAACAACTGCATTACGCAGCCATGTGGACAGCCCCTGAGGGAGTCCCATGCAGCGAAGCCAGACAGAGAGAAGGCACAAGCTTTCACTCATATGTGGTATACAGAGAAAACAAACAAGTGAATTAAGAAAAACAAAAATAGGCTTTGGACTATACAGTCAATTAGTGGTTACTAGAAAGGACAGAGGGAAGGGGAAAAGAGAGTGGCAATGGAGACAAACAGGCCAATGGGATGGCAATGGGTCAGATATGGACCTTCAACAACAAACTTAATGTGGTATACACATGTTGGTTCTTAGTAATGAATACCTAAGTAGAGAACAAAAGTAAAATTTAGGAGGCTAATAGCTCTTTATAACTGACCAAAGAGAGAAAAGCCTATTTTATCTATTTTAATATCATATATAATTAATTTAAATATAAATGAAATGTAGTTTCATTAATCTAAGTAAATCTATTACAGCTATTTCAGTATCAGACAATTCAGACTTAAAGGCAACAGTATTAGCCATAAAGTAGTCTCCAAATAATTATAAAGAGAAAAGTTAAACAGATACTACATCTGAATCCTGAATATATATAGTCTGAGCCTGAATAATCTGGTTTAAACTATGTAACAGAAAGGACCAGAATTTTAAGAAGTTGATAAATGAGATATTTTAACAAACATCTCTCTGCAAATGAGAAAAAAGCAGACAAAATAGTTAAGTATAAATTCTTAACAAAAACAGTACATTGTCTCTGTAAGAGTAGAAAATGGAGTGCTATCACGGCTAAGGCCTGAGCTTGACCCTCAGCCAGGGAGGTGACCAGCACATGGCACAGCAGACCACTTTTGTCTTACCCCCTGCTCCCCTCAGCAGTGTATTTCAGTAAATCCACCTGTTCTGCTCCCCACTCTATCTCTGGTGAACCCTTTCACCCCCATCCCTCCCAAAGCGGCCTTTATCCTGGTTCTTCTATGCAAAAAATAAGGTGTGTGGCAGGGAGGGAGATAGAAAAGAATGTATGGAAGAATAAGGAATATTACATATATGATGATGCCAATATAACTTTGACACCAAAATCTAAGAGTTGAGAAGGAAAATCTATGATTAAAGATATAAAAACCTCCAAATATTCCAAACAAATCCAATTTATTATAAAAAAGTACTGTGTCAAAAATAGTTCTAATAACATCAAAGGAATTTATTTAAATAGATTATGATTTGATAGAATAAAGACAAGAGATCAACTGAAAGTATGTAGAATAATTTAGTAAAATTTAGTAGCCATTAATTTAAATGAAAAACTATTCTTAGCAAAATAGAAGATGTAATTTCCTTAAGTTAGAAGAAAAAAACATACTTCATGGTGAAATACTGGAAGCATTCTCTTGACAATCATTACTGCCTGTAATCACCACTTTTATTTTACATTTTACTGGTGAACTTAGATTGGATAATAGAAGATTAAGACATAAGGATTAGGAAGGAAAAGACAAATCATTATTACTGTCCACACACAAAAACAAAACAGTCTCATAACAAAATTCAATGTTTCTGATATAAGATCAGTATACCAGCAGCTTTTTCTTATATATATCAGCAGCAAGCAATTTAAAGTATTAATTTCCTCTAAGAAAGGTTACATGTATAACTACAAAAAAAAAATCCCATCTACAAAGTCCTTAAAAAGTAATCTTTTTAAAAAGGGGCATGCAAGAGCTATACAAATAAAATTTAAAGATATAAAAGCAAGTCTCAAAAACCTGGAATTTATGAATAACAATTCTTCACAAATAAAGCTATAAATTCAAAGATACTCTAAGTAAAAAGCCCAATGCAACTTTTCCACAGTGGAATGGAATTCCATAAATTGATCCTAAAATTCCTAAGAACGTTTGATCAAATAACAGCAATTCTGAATTTCAATAATAAAAAATACTTGCACTATCAAATACCAACAATGATTACAAAGCAATATGTAATAACAAGAGCAGCATGGAAATACTGGAACAAAACAGCAGGCCTGGAAGCACTGGTAAGCCTAAGGAAAGAAGTGGTATTCCAACTCAGCAGGACAGAGCTAAATGAGGACATCTCTAGAGTCCTATCTTTGTCGACTCATAAGCTAAGAGAGTAAAGTAAAACTTTAAAGCCTTTAGGAGCTTAAACAACAATCTATCATTTTCTAAAGAAGATAATACAAACACAAATCAGATTTATATAATAAAGAAAAAATAACAACATGGTATATGTAACCCTCAAATTACCAGAAAAAAAATTATATATATATATGTATATTTCTTTATTTATTTCTTTCTTTATTTATTTATATAAACTCTTACATATCAGTAAGAAATCTGGAGGATTCCACAGCAGTGAGAAGCAACTCTGAGAAGAAACATGAGTGACAAATGCTAAAAGATGAAATGATAAAATGATACTCTACCACTCAGTAGTAACGAAGGAAATAAAAATATTAGTAACAAAAAGCAGCATATCACACCCATTCAAGTTACAAAACAACCCTATTATCCCAAATCTTGGTGATGATACAAGCAGAGAGGCACCCTTACAAATGGCGGGTGTGCAAAGTGATGGAATCATTTGAAGAGTAACTTGGCAGAAAAGTAAAGTGTCTTCCCAAGCGCCCAGCAATCCATTTCTCCATGTCCACTGAGAGAAACTTAAAGTTATGTACAATAAAAGACAGAAAAGGAGGCTTATTGAAGTAGTGTGTGTAAGGGGTAAAAAGCAGACTGTGTTGCAATAGAAAAATGGATAAACTGGTTTATTATCACAATAAATATATAAACTGTGGTTTAATTCACGTTAAACAGTTACAGTGTTACTGTTAATTCATGGCAATTAATTAATAATATAATCAGACAATCTATATATAACTAACTATACGTAATTCCTAGATAATCTATATATAAATGTTTCTAAAGCATGCACTTAAACAGAGAGTTGCAAAACCATACTTAGAGTTTGGTGGAATTTATGTAAATTAAATTGTAAATGTAAATACATAACAATTATATCTAGTAGTTATGGTTACATCTTTATTTTAAGAAAGTACAATTCTGATTTATAAAACAGAACAACTTTAGGTGCGTGTGATGGGTGGAGAATGGGTTTAACTGTACCTGTAATGACTTTATTTCAGAGAAAAGACAAGTAAGGCAAAATATTCACATCTGTTTCTTTTGTTAGATAAGCATAATATTTTCAGTATTTTTTAAGTACCTCTAAGAGCTTTATGTCTATCTGTTTGATGAATATGTAAAGGGCTCTAGTAGTACAAATATAAGAAAGTCTAAATAACCACAACTATATATAGGCCCACTAAGACTTACTCAGTTTTCCTATACAGTTATCCGCTGGAAATATTTTGTCCCTCTCCCTTTATGCATAACATAGACTCGTATTCTATGTATAGTTTTACAATCTTTCACTTTGTTCTTCAACACTAGAGGCCTATTTTGCTGTCACTATTTCACCCTTATACAATTTACATACACCAACTGTGAAAATCTGAAACTGCTCAGGACAAGCCTTTAGTCTGCTCTAGACACTAGTCCGACTGCGAGGAGTTTCTTCCTCGCGACAAGATACCCTCTGGAACCCAGTGGAGTGCCACTGCTGCGCCACTAGGTGGTAGCAGAGCTCTCAAACTGTAATCTACCAGGGTTATCTTTCAAAGAGAGTAAAGATGGTAAATTTGGTCACAACATCTCTAAAATATCAAACTAATTTTAAAAGTAGCTCTTGCACTTTTTCATATTTCAAATTTTTCTATGTACCACAATTACAGAAAACTTAATCAGTCCTATTGAAAAATTCAATGCACATGTGGTATCATGACAACCCCATCCCAGTACTTTAAAAAACCAGTGAATTTCAGCAATAATGCATACTTCTGCTGTTGAGTAATTATGAATTCTAAGAAGGAAATGACCCTTTATAAGCTGTAATTTTCAAGCAAAATTATATACTCATCAATCAGTCCTGCATCTGACAAGAGCATAAAATTCAAGGATATGAAATCTGATCACATTCCAGCTGCCCAGCTGGCCTAGCTCCATGGAAGTGCACCCATCACTACCTCACAGCAGGAGGTGAGGAGCTGAGGGCATTCCCTACCCGAGTATGCTGCCTTTACAACCTGTCCTCTCTCCTCTTGCTGCCTGCTGCCTCCCTTGCTTGCATTATCTACCTGCCACTAAATGGAGAAACAAACCACAAGCACATGTTCACTACTTATTTGCACATTTAGGACTTTATTTCATAAAACTATCTATAAAAAGTAGAATTCTTTCTAAGCTGTAACTTCAGCAGAGTTATAACAACTGGAAAGAAAATTTGGAACTGTAAATTGTTCCTGTATCATGAGTTTCCTTCAAGTCTAAACTTTCCATGTAAGATTTCAACCCATTGATGACTACATTTTGAATTCCATTCTTTGGAATCTTGTTCTCTATACATGCTTTCAAATAGACCACACAGACTGAGGAAATGAATCACATGAGCAACACTAAGGGTAGTCTTTCAGATAATGTCAAATATGAGAAATGACATTTTAAATTCAACCCTTTAACTTCGCAAAAAAAAAAATCAAAATATTTAATAAATGCTAAAATTTGTTAATAAAATTTAAAAACTCACCTTGCTACTGAATGGATTCTCTACAATGAGAAATGTTCAACTAGCTCATACAGCAAAGCAATGGCAGCCACATGTTTAGCTACCTCTGGGAGGGGCCCCATCTTCCAGCAACAGCAACAAAATTTTCTCAACATAAACAGCTTAATTTTGTTTAATTACTGAACTCAGTGCTTCATGAATTAAATACTGCATGATAATACTCTTAATAAGAGGAGACAGTGAGAGAAGTAAAAACAAAACCTAAAGAACTTTCCTGTGGGAGAACAGCAATTCAACTTAATATAAAGCCACACTATCGGTTAGACTGGAACCCAAGCTTTTGAGATCTTCCCCTAATTTTTACTTTGCATTATAGACTAAGCTGCCGTTGCAATCAACTTAGTATAGGTATTGGAGTGTCTGTACACCCCTCAAATAAAATGTCAACAGTAAATACAAAAAGTAAAGAATGCATTTCAGAGTTTTTGCTGCACTCACCACTTACCGGGAAATTGTGACACTATTGGGGGTGTATCTTCATCTAAGTCATCAACTCCTCCGGCAATGGGGTAGGGTGGGATGGAGACTCTGGGCATCACCACCCAGCTGTGATCAGAATAAAGGGAGGAAGTCAGGCTGGGAAGCCCGGAGTTATGGGCTATCTGAAAGCCACAGATCTTCTCAATTTGTTGCCAGCGAAAGAGTCGTTCTCGTAAACAAGTTGTCAACTCAGAAAGCGCTTTCCTGGAAAAGTAAACATAGGAATCACTTGCTGCATCAAAGAGTCTTTATCTTTAACGCAGCACTGAAAAAAGGCAACCACACTGACAGAACATGGCAATGAACTAAGTTCAAGGAGAAAATCCCCATGCTTTGGATGAATGTAAACATTGCAATTATTGATGACAATCTGAAATATAAATCACCTACAAACTACTCATGTTGACACCATAAAAGCAAAGAGCTAAAATCATGTCATTACTTTGCCTCCAGAATTTTGTGGTCCACCTCGTCGAGGGAGGAGCTGTGCGCCACATGCAGGGTCCCAAAGACTGTGCTTCTCTTCTTTTTAATTTTCTCTGCCTAGAAACCCAAGGGTAGAAAAGTAAGGCTGAGTTTGAAGGAACGATGTACATAAACAAAGTTTATTTTGTTGTGACTATATTAACAATCATAAAACAGTAGAGAATCATTAGCCAAGTTACAATACTATTTTCCAAAAAAAAAAAAGAAAACATGCTTCTTAAACTAATCAATAAAGTTTAAAACTTTGTCCTGAGTCTGTTTCTCTTAGGAAGACCTGAGTCTTCTATCAAAACATTTCCTACTGCAAATGGAAGTGTTAGTGAATAAACTGAGCTAGCTTAAACTAGAAATCAGATTAACAATCTTATTTCACACAATTTAATAAGTCAGACATTAATTTCTAGTAACTACTAACCTGAATCAGATATGAAGCAGCAACCTAGAGGGAAAAAGCTCTATATAAAACATTTGTTATAATAAAAGGAGTGATTTTTAAATGACATCAAGGTCATTTTGAAAGGTATACTATTTCTCTAGATAAGGAAATTTAACTTTGCAGCCTATGTTTATGACAACCAATTTATGCAATAAGCCAATTCATAAAAAGAATTTAATAAAAAGATCTGGGACATAGATCTTCATATCCCAACTCGTAAACCCCTTTGGAAATTTAGTAAGTTTTCGAAGATTATAGTACCTCATCCTTAGCAATAGCTAACTGCATTTCAGCATTCTGTCTTTTAATATTGTAGTACTGTACTTCTACTTCATGTGTTAACTGAAGCCACTTCTGAAGTGCATCTGGAACAGACCAGCTGCTTCTTAGTTCAAATTCTTTCTCAGCCTTTTTTAGAGCCATTCGAACCTGGAAGGGAAGAAGTCAGGGAGAAAGGGTGTGAGGAAGGCAGGGGTGGGAGAAAAAAGAGAGGGAGGGAAATTTCTCTTTCCAAAAGAAAATAAAGATATTTTTAAAGAAATGAATTGCATTCCAAAATTAAAACAAAAGCAATTAATTACGCTATTTGTGAATATCTTTTTAAATCACAAGGTCTAAAATAATACACTGCTAAGCTGAAGTGTACCTTAAACTCACTAAGCAAATGATAAAGTCAGAGTAGAGAAAGGGCACTGTACACATTTTAAGTTGCAATGTTGATTTTGTATTTTGTAATACCCAGACCCACTGAGAGCATGTACAAATAAAACTGACTATACTTTCTCATAATGCATTTCTTTCTGTATGGAGTTAAGATACAAAGAAATATGTTATAAGCATATCTAACTATTATAGTCTGTTTGACCACTGTTATTTAATCCATTGATTCAAATATGCCAAAATGACACCATTTGTAGAGTCTGTATGAACTGTAAGAAATTAGACCCTGAGTGTATACTTGATTAATTTTCACATGAAACTGTGTTCAGTCCTCAGTGTAAGGATGTTGAAGTATTTCTCTCAATGGCTCTTTGTAAGAGTCAGAAAATAAACAGAAAACTAACTGTTTAGTGATTCAGGTGGTACTAAGTGCTAAGAATAAAAACTTTTTAAAAATTTAATATATTTTTTAAAGATTTATTTTATATCTATGCATGTATGAATCCAAGAATGGGTGTAGGCCAGAGGTGTACAGTAGGCGAGAGGATCACCAGAGACAGAAAATGGGAAGCAGAACAGGAGATCTACTGAAATAATACTACTGAGGGGAACAGCAGGTAGGGCAGGAGAGACCTGCTGTGCCATGAGGGTCAGCTCCCCAGCTGGGAGTCAAACTCAGCCATAGCAATAATAGTGCTGAGACTTACTCCTTAGGCCAGCAGGGGAGGCTCCAGAACAAAGACTCTTAAGGAAAGAAAGTGACAGAGAAGGAAGAGACAATCACTCCTGGGGATTCATTCACCAAAGAGCAAGGACTCAAGCTAAAGATGTGTAAAGATACATGATGGGATTTATGAAATAACATACACACACTTGAGACCTTCCAATACAATGGTAAAGAAACTAAGGGGATCTTGCTTTTGGAGCTCTGTAACTAGCAAATTAATTTTCCTCAAAGGTAAGGTAACCAAACCTTCATTCCCAAACTAACATGCAGAAAAATGTTTGATCTGAACAAGCCCAACTTATTTAAATAAACTTTATCGTGTGTCAGAATAAACTAAGAAAAGTACTACATACAAACCTTTAATAAAGAAATAGAACAACTGTCAGATACTCTAGAAAGGAATGATGAAGAAAACGTCAAAAATCCAAAAATAAAAAAAAGCTCACAGTAGGCCACTAAATGCAGTTCTAGACAGACATGAAAAGTCAGGGGAAGACAGCACTTGCTCACTGAAAACAAACCTAAGCAACGTGCTGGACACGACTTACGGTGCGATGTGCTTTGGGACCATGTTTAAGATAGTGAAGCAGTGGCCCTGCTGCTCTCAGGAGAGATCAGGCTTTGTGATGTGGAGTGGTGAAACACTACAGGTCCTGTATCTCATAAGATTTTAAAGGGAACGTTTCTATACAATTTTCATTGTTAAGGAAGTATAGTACAGAATCTGAAGAAATTTCACTTTTTTCTTTAATTTTAAAAATGTTCCTTAATATTATATCCACAATTATTTACAGAGTACAACAAACATATTCAATACAGAATTGATACATTTTCAGAATAAACTGAAGTTAAGTACTGATTGCCTTTCAAGTATTGACTGAAAACTGTGGAAACTGTGACCCAGTTACAGCCACCATTTTAACTGGTTTGTGATATTATTCATGGTTTATCATTTGACCTAAATTCCAACCCTTAGTTTGAATTACTTTGTTATTTATAGGGGAGTGGATGCAGTGAAAATTGAGTAACAATGTTTATATATAAACATTTATATATAAACATTGTTTATGCATAAGTAAAAAGTCATAAATAAGCAGTAAGTAAAAAAAAAACATGATATCACAGAACAGGCTAATTACCTGAAAAACTGGCTTCGAGAACCAACATTTTTATTACCGTTGTGACCTTTTTTTTAATGACAGCACATAGTCACAACTTGTCCTACTATAGGCTTCTTGAGACCTTAAGAACAAAATATTTTATGTGAAAACTATTTAAATCACACAAAATATAAAGTGGTAGTATTGTTCACTCAGAAGTCTTTAAGGAAAATAACTATACAAAATACATTTAATTCTAATTTTAAGACGTTAATTATCCCTACAAGAAACAGCGATGACTCAAACTGTACATAATTGTGGATTAATTTCCCAATAAAACTTAAGTGTAGAAAACCTTTAATAGTAGTATGGGAAAACATGGACTTTGAAATAAGGCACATAAAAATCTAACTTTTGCAACTTAGTAAGATGTGTGGCCTAAGATGAGTGAGCTAACCCCTCTACACATTTAGCCTATAAACGAGGATAGTAACTACAGTGAAGATTAAAATTTATGAGCGAACCACTTGGCAGTGTGCATAGTATGAGCTTCTGTTACACATAAGCAACCTTAAAATTCTGACTTTTATTTACTATAATCATATAAGACAGAATTCTTTTGACATACCTATTTCTCTTCTTTTAAGCCACTCCTTACTGACTCATGCTCATTATTACTGATATTATTTGTAGTGGAACATATATCAAAATAATCTATTGCTCTACTGGACAAGGCAACATTTCTATGCCCAAATCCTCAGATTAGAATATTCATGGCTCCCCAATCCTTTTTATGTAGTGTGTCTTCTCCTGTGAGGCAGTCACTTGTAAAATATTGCTAAAGTTTATATAAAAGAATCCTCATTACTGGTTTCTGATTTGCTCTTTAAAAAGTTTAGAAAAACAGGTAACAAGATTTTCAACACTGTGAACAAGCTCCAAGTTAAGAAGTCTTGATGGAAATGGGGAATTCACACAGGAGGACAGCTGTGTCTTGAACAAAGCATAATACTGGTTAGGCACTTTTTTTTTTTTATAAACTCCCTGGTTCTTCACCCCCTTTGTTACAGAGAAGAGTTGCAGAGTTAACAGTGCCTAACTGCAAAGTATGTGTACTCAAGAGAACAAATTCCTCACCAGAAAAGGATGCAGAAATAGACCTTTGGAGTAGAAAGGGGAAGAACTGTTAACAAGAGAGGGCTACATTCAGCCAGAAAAATCCTATTAAAAATGTCAGTCTTCAGGGAAACAGTACTAACCACTGAACATTTTCCCTTAGCTTGAAATTAAAACTCATTCATCACATAATCTTCTTACTGAGCATGTTGAGAAGGCGACAGTGCACAGAGCAAAGTGGCAGGGACAGGGGAGCAGACTATGTAGTTCTGAGTTGTTCTACAACTGAAGTGTCTCTTCAATCTTAAGCACATCTCTTAAACTTCACTTTGGCCTGAAGTTTCTTTATCAGCAAAGAAAAGTCAGAGGAAGGAGATGAGACTGCAGAAGTACAGTTTGGAATGATGTGATCAGAAGGTGAAGAAAGAAGCCATGAGCCAGAAATGCAGGCAGCCTGCAGAAGCTGGAAAAGGCGAGAACAGATCCTCCCCTAGAGCCTCCAGAAGGAATTCAGCTCTGTGAACCTATTTTAGACTCTGACTTCGAGAACTGTAAGATAATATGTGTGTTGTTTTAAGTCACTAAGTTGGTGGTAATTTATTATAGCCGGAATAGGAAACCGATATACCTACCTATAATTAAATTCTCCCAGGACCCATCCCCTTTTCCAAAGGACTGTGGAATGCCTAAGTGCCTGCATTTCATCTTGAGTAAAGGCTAGTCAGAGAACCAGATATTGGAGAGAACATTATTTTCCACAACTTCAGAATTTTTAGCAGATTATGTTTGCTCTAAATCCAACTAGTGTGATTCAAATGGATGTTTAAAAGAGATCATTTTCCTCTTCACAAAACTTTAGCATTAGATAGGCCTGATTATACTACATTAAGTCAGAAGCAAATATATTACAAATATTAAACACCTTAAATTTACTCAAGATAATTGACATGGCAGGGAATAAGATGTCATGAATGAGTGACTATGATGGTAACTTCATTTTCAATTACTACTCTGTTATTTTGTTATGACTTTGATCAATGCAACAACATGAACAAATGATTCTTTAACTAAGGAAGAGTATATGATGAAATTAAATGTAAGAAATTCTACAAAAACAAACAGGGCTCCTTAGGGCGGCAATAACACAAATAACCTAACAAAAACTTTTTTTTTAATGTAAATACCTGCTCTAATTCCTGCTCTGCATATTGACGTCGACTTAATTCACATTCTGCTCCTTCCCTCAGCTCTCTCAGCCGACAGGCTTCCTCCTTGGCGTAATTGATTTCATCCATCATCTTGCGCTCTAGATTTTGCTTTTCTACAGCAACATTTCTGTTTTCTTCCTGTGCCTTTTCAAGCCTTATGGAACAATAAAAATGAAAATTTCTCACAAAATATTCCAAACTTTCATTTCTTAATAAAGAACAAACAATAGATATGCTTCAATCAGAATAAATTTGGATAGCAAGAATATCAGGTAGCCTCCCTCATAGCTACTTTGATTACCTTGAATTCAAAATACAAGGGTACCAGGAAAAGACCCTTCACAAAGAGACTTAAGAAATGCCTATTGTTGAAATCATGTGAAAATCAAACTTAGCAACACATAGAATCCCACCTCTATTTGACTTATTTACACTGGTCTTCTGCCAATTTATTCCCTAGTGCACACTGTTAAATAGGCCTACAGTTATGATGCCATTTTCTAAAACTATGAAATGAAATGCACAGTCTTGATGTACATGCCAACTTAAATGTAAATATGGAAGCACCTGCCCATATTACATCTTCTCAAATTCATCATCTTTTTACATAAATAACAAGATACAGCTCTTTTCACTTACTCACCTTTCCTGTAAGTCCATCAGACTTTGTTCTGCCGTTTGCAGACTTTCTAAATCTTTCATCATTTTTGCAACATGTTCTTTTGATGTCTTATTCTGTGTGTAAGCAAACCAGCATCCTCCAACACCAATTACTATAGAAACTGTGAGGATAAAATCCTTCATCCAGTTATGAGGAGGACCTATAAAAGAGAAGTAAAGAAATGAATCTGAGTATAAGAGAATCTCCATACTTAGAGGTACATGAACGTCCCATAACATCCAGTTTTTTAAGTCATTTCTTCAAATTATTACTGTGTGTTTATTATAATTGCCAAACATACCAGACCTATAGGATGGCAGAGATAAAGCTCCATAGATAAAGGCACCATGCCCCTGCTGGGAGTAACGAAATTCCCAGGAAACCCTGAAAAAACAACAGCATCTCCAATCACATCCTAGTAGAATGGTCTTCTATGATGTGAAAGCAATCATCGAGAGTATGGCTATTATCATTCTTACTTATTTCCTCCAGTTAAGTTAGGTGGCTGTCATGCTTTGAGACATAAATCCTGATCACTCACCAAGAAGCCCTTTCTCCAGGCATGTACCCGTGTATCTAATCAGTGGTTCTCAAGAGGATAATAGTCCACCTAGCTGACATTTGACAATTTTTCTTTGCCACAACTGGAATGGTTATGAGTAGAGGGAGTTGCTACTAGTATCTAGTAGGCAGAGGCCTGGGGTATTACTAAGTGTACAATAATATACAAGACAGTATCTTTCCCTCAACCCCCTTTGGCTGTTAATAAAAGATTATATAGCTCAAAATATGAATAAAGCCAAGGTGGGTTAACTTTGAGTTAAAAGGCTGTAAGTACTGTTTTACTGGTACTTTTATTTGTCAGAGATGGCAGGGTCACTAGAGGAAAGAACAGAATCTCCTTTCCTTCCATGCCAGGCATTACAGCTAAAGTAAGGAGGAAGGAGCCAGAAGCTGCAGGTATCATCACTCAAATAATTTTCCAGTTTATCCCTAACTGTCAAATACACACAGAATTTTCAGAGGGCTCCTGAAGGGAGACACAATGGTAACTAACACAAAAAAACATAGTTTATAGTGAACTGCCCAATGGCCCATGCCTCCAACAGGAAAACTGTGTGTGTGATGAGATGACGGCTCTAAGAAAAATTCAAATTGCTATGTTTGTAAGTCTAGGGTTAATCTATGTTTCCATGGTGATAAATAGCATGCTCAAAGCCGGAGACCCCCCAGGGTTGCACATTTCCAGAGTACATGCCCTGACCTACAGTAGAAGAGTTGATGCACTGTGGAAGGCTAGACTCTAGAAAGGATTTATTTTTATTTGTTCAGCATCTGGTTCAAATATAAGCCCCATCCAGATTGAAATATAATCACCAGAAAAAAACACAATAGATACCCAAGTACTAAATGAGTACCACTACCCAGCAATTTTCAGAGAAAACTTCATATGACAATGCGAGTTTTTTATAAATCAAACCTAAGTATTCTAACTGTAGGGTTCATTCACACACACACAATTCTTAGGCAGACACATTAATAAGGTAATGCATCATTAACCTCTTCACGAATCTGTTTATTCAAACATTTGTTTTCAACAGTCTTTGGGAATAGTTCTATTTCTTTTCAAATGATACTATATTGATTTTCTAAATTAAAAAGAAATTTGTGGGCCCTCCCTGGTGGCCCAGCGGGATAAAGCACAGCACTAAGAAGCTAAAGCCACTTCTGCATGAGTTCGATTCCTGCCTGCCCCAGAGGTGACCACAT